AAATTTTCCAATGGTTTGCCAAGCTATTGAGGGGCTTCCTCCATCCCGCTCTAAGGATCATGCTATTGTAATAAAACTGGGGGAGCAACCACCAAATATCAGGCCTTACCGATACCCCTACTTATAAAAAAATGAAATAGAGAACATGGTGAAAGACATGTTGAAATTTGGAATTATACGACCCAGCAACAGTCCTTACTCAAGCTCGATATTGCTAGTGAAGAAAAAAGATAGAAGTTGGAGGTTTTGTGTTGATTACAGGGCATTAAACAAAATTACAGTTCCTGATAAATTTCCTATTCCCGCTATTGATGAGTTACTTGACGAATTGAAGGGAGCCACAGTGTTTTCAAAGCTGGATTTAAAGTCTAGGTACCATCAAATCCGAATCAAAGCAGGGGATGAACACAAAACATCATTCAGGTGAGGGACATTATGAGTTTAAGGTGATGCCATTTGGATTAACCAATTCCCCCTCAACCTTCCAATCCTTGATGAATGAGGTATTCAGGGAATATTTGTGCAAGTTCTTATATACAGCAGTGATGTAACCGCTCACTTGAAGCATTGAGGACAGTATTTTCTGCCCTGAAAGAAAATCAGCTCATGGTAAACTTAAAGAAGTGTAGCTTTGTTCAGTCCAAGATTGAATACTTGGGGCATCTGATTTTAAAAGAAGGGGTTCAAGCCGATCCAGCCAAGATAGAGAGCATGATGAAGTGGCCAAAGCCTAAGAATGTGAAATCCTTGAGAGGATTCCTAGGGCTGAGCTGATACTATCTTTATTTTGTCAAGAATTATGGGAAGACTCCTCTCACTGATTTACTCAAAAAAGACTCATTTAAATGGTCAACGAAAGCAGAAACAGCTTTTGAAAAACTCAAAACAACTATGACCACACTAACTGTGCTTGCAATGCCTGATTTTACCCTTCCTTTTGAGTTAGAAACCGATGCCTCTGGCACTGGGGTAGGGGCTGTTCTAACACAGCAAGGCAGACTTGTAGCATACTATAGCCAAAAACTCTCTACTCGAGCACAACAATGCTCCATTTATGAAAGGGAGCTCATGGCTATTGTCATGGCAGTTAAGAAGCGGCGGCATTATCTTTGGGGGCATAAGTTCATCATTCATACAAATCAAAAGGCCTTGAAATACTTGTTAGAGCAAAGAGTAGTGGAAGAAAACTAGCAGAAATAGGTCTCTAAATTATTGGGACACAAGTTTAAAATTGTGTACAAGCTTGGGAAAGAGAATAGGGCTGCTGATGCATTATCCAGACAAGAAGAATCACTGGAATTGCTGGCATTTTCTTTATAGCAATATAATGATGTAGAAGACTGGGAAAAAGAGGTACAAGCTGACCCAAAATTGAGAAAAATTCTGCAGCAACTTATCACGGATAAAAATAGGGTGGAAGGGTACAGCGTGGTCCATGGCTGCCTGCACTACAAGGCAAACTGGTGCTACCAAAAAGCTCATCCAGAATTTCCTTGCTACTTAAGGAGTTCCATGATTCTCCGATAGGGGGCATTTAGGTTATTTATGGACTTACAAGAGGCTATCCAATGTAGTGTATTGGGAAGGGATGAAAAGGGATGTTTAGCAATATGTGGCAAGTTGTGAGGTATGCCAGAAGAATAAGTATCACGCTTTAACTCCTGTTGGTCTGTTACAACCATTAACTATTCCTCAAAGTGTTTGGGAAGATATTAGCATGGATTTCATCACCGGGCTTCCCAAATCAAAGCGGTATGACACCATCCTAGTAGTGGTGGATAGACTCACAAAATATGCACATTTCTTCCCTCTTGCCCACCCTTTTTCTACAAAGGATGTTGCTGAAAGTTTGTAGCTGAGGTTGTGAAGCTACATGGTTTCCCTAAAACCATAGTTTCAGATCGAGATAGGGTTTTCATTAGCCATTTTTGGCAAGAATTGTTCAAACAAGCTGGAAATCAACTTTGCCTTAGTTCATCTTACCATCCGGAATCTGATGGACAAACAGAGGTGATAAATAGAAGCTTGGAAACTTACTTGCGTTGTTTTGCCAATGTGAAGCCTACTCAATAGGCTAAATGGTTGTCTTGGGCTGAATATTGGCATAATACTTCATTCCATAGTGCGGCGGGCATGACACCTTTTAAGGCAGTGTATGGAAGGGATCCTCCTACTTTTTTAAAATTTAGTGGCGAACCCTCAGCTGTAGAAGATGTGAATACACAGATTCAGATTTGAAATCAGATCATTGAGCAATTACGAGAAAATTTAGCTAAGGCTCAAAGCAAAATGAAGGTGCAAGCTGACAAGCATCGTAGGGATGTGCATTTTGAAGTGGGGGACCTTGTTTATGTGAAACTTCGACCTTATCGATTGAAAACCTGGGCTCGGAGGGACAATGAGAAGCTTAGCCCACGTTTATACGGACCTTTTAAGGTTCTTGAAAAGATTGAGACTGTGGCCTACAAGCTGGAACTCCCACCCACTGCCGCATTCACCCTGTATTCCATGTTTCTCAGCTAAAGCAAACAGTTTTAGTTGCTGTGGTACAACCTTCCATTCCCCAATACTTTCTAATGAATTTGAATTGCAGGTGCAGCCTCAAGATATAAGAAAGGTTCACAAGCTTATGAACGGACAGCGAGAGGTGTTGGTTAAATGGCAAGATTTACCAAAATTTGAGAATTCTTGGGAATGTGCAGAAATGATTTGCTAACAGTTTCCAACTTTTCCCCTTGAGGACAAGGTGAAACTCTTAAGAGAGGGTAATGATAGAGCCCATTATTTTCCTAAGACATATCAAAGGAAGTCAAAGGGGAGGAATAACTCTAGTGGAAATACTCTAACTGGTCCAAGGACTTATCCGTCAGTCCCTAGCCATAAAGAACAGTAACTTGTGATCTTTTGTCATGATTAGAATCTTTTGGGTAGTATGGGCCATGTGTAAGCCATGCTGAAGGTATTAGTAGTCTTTTGCTTGGAGAGTGGGAGAGGAGAGGAGAATGGAGTTGTGAGGAGAGACTGGCCTCTCGAATGCCAGTGGTAAGGAACTTGTATTTGAAGCTTGAAATCTAGTGGTGGAGTTATCTTAATTTTATAGAGGAAATAGGGTTTTTGCCAGAATCAGAGAGTGTCCTTGTAACTCTGATTCGATCCATTCAGCTCATTATTATAAAAAACCTCAGCATTTTCCTCTCATATTTAGTGCTGTTATTGTCTTAATTTAGTGTTTCTGTTGTATTATTGGTTAGGTCACATTAGATGTTTTTCCCAAGAACATCCTAAATCTTGGAGCCAATTCCTACATTGGGTTGAATTTTCTTACAACACTAGTTACCATACTTCTTCCGAATCTACTCCATTTAAAGTAGTTTATGGGAAAGAGCCTCCAGTCCTTCTTCCTTATGTTGAAGGGCAAACTAGAATTGATGACCTTGAGGAGTACTTCTTGAAATGTGATGCTTTAATAAGTACTATTAGGGACAATCCGATTCACCCTCAAGCAGATTCTAAGCGAAGAAATGTTGCATTTGTTTCAGGTGACATGGTTTATTTAAAGCTTCAACCATATCCGTCAACGTTCACTGGCGCAAAGGCGTTATTAAAAACTTTTCGCAAGGCATTTTGGTCCTTATCCAGTATTTAAAGGAATTGGCAAGGTTGCCTATGAGCTTCAGATCCCTCCAGCTGCAAGAATACATCCTGTCTTTCACGTCTCTTTGCTCAAGTTGGCCCACGGATCAATTTCTCATACTTCATTGCCACCATTACCTATATCGGATGATTGGCAGTTACAAGTTAAACCAGATCAAGTTCTTGATGTCTGTGTATAAACAGTGGACAATTAATAACTTTCGGAATTGCTTGTTCAGCGAAAAAATCACTCTCACGAGGAAGCTTATGACCTGATTGCTGCACAATTTCCTTCTTTTCGCCTTGAGGACAAGGCTATTCTCCTAAGGGAGGCTAATGATAGGAACCAACGTTCCTTGTTGGTATACTCTAGGCAGGTGGCAGTCTTATGTGATATTTTATATTTTATTGCTTTTATTAACTGTTTTATGTTAGTTATATGTTGTTATTGTCAGTTTTTTATTGATAAGGTTGGGTAGTTATATTTAGTTATTTTGTCTTGTTACAAATACCCTCTCTTGTAACTATTGGCGGTATGAATGAAGTTTATTCAGATATATTTGGAGATTCTCCTCTTTCTAGGATTAGATTTTGATTCTAGAACTTGTGGTGGCTTGCCCACTGGTGACGGAGCTTCAACTAATTTTTAACATAGTTGATTAAATGCTGACCTTAACAAAAGTTCATAGGCATCTACATCACCAAGGCAACAACTCTAACAACCTAACACAAAGGGACAGAACAACTCTAACAACCTTTTGAGAACCCAATGTTTCTATTGACAGCAAGTTTTTAAAAGTCAAGGCAAAAACAAAAATTGGCATATACCTGACAAAGTTATAAATATATCTAGTTCACATAGCATGCAAAGTATATTTATAGAACAACAATTGAAAGCAACAGAAAATGTAACAGTGTTATTATATATTCAACAGGGGAGTATCACATAACATCAGAACAGGGAATATAAGAGATGAATAAACTCCGTAACTCTTTATATGACATCAATAAGTCACAGAAGGGATCTTGAAGTAGCCAAGTATTCAATTGTAGGCTCATAATAGCACAATAGCCATATGCAGAGACATGTTTCAGAGAGAATTCAAACTTGACTCTCATTTCTAATGTCAACACAAGTTCCTTCAATTCTAACTTTGCTAGTCCCAATACTTAATATGTCTATTAATATATCAATCACAAAGTCAGCATATCTCTAATTCCCCGATCATCCTCTCTCCCATTGTTTGCAAAGGAAAGAAGAGCCATACAGTATGCCCTAGAGGCTATTAGATATCTAGCATAGATAACAGAACCCATACGGACCAACTAATGTTTAAATCTCTTGTGATCAAGTTATGAAAAATTACCTGAATCGATTGTTGAGTGGATGCTGGTGAAACCTCAAATAAGAGCCTTTCTTTCTCTTGGACCAACGTTCAACAAACAAGAGGGGAGGAGGAAATAATTTTCAGTTCAAAAATTGTACCACTAAAAAATTTAAAAACATTTGAACCATGAAATCCACTTATCTCAGCCGGTAAGAGGATCTAAAATTGATTTCTGTTCCTTGGGCTTTCAGTGGAGCGAATAGCGATCCGCTAGGTGTCCCCGCCACTGCACACTATTTCTCACCAAGAGAAACGCTCTAGCCTCTCCAATTATCGGCAACAGGCTCTTCTGAATTGCCAAGATCGCCTCCGTATCAGAGATATTGATTTCATCCGACTCTCATTTCGCTGTCTTGGGGTCTCCTCTCAGCAATCCACAGTTTACCCACTTCCTTTCCTCTTTAATCATCATCCATCCTTCGAGGATCAGATTTAGATATCCTCTGTCACCAACTCCTAGACAGAAAATAAGAAACACATCAACCTTAAAGCTTTCCAACTTCATTGATTGGATAAAACACACAAGAAAATTTTACCTTGCAAGTTGTGGGCTTCACCGAGATATGATTCTTCTCATGAGAAATGATGGTCATGATAGAACCCAGAAGAAGATAGTCAGTAATGCTAGAGGCGCGCGTTTTACGACTGGTGATTTAGTGACCGTTAGGCCCTTTTACGTCTTCACTTCACAACGGTAATAAATTTTTTTTTTTTTAAGAACACAACGGTAAAAGTTCATTCAGAGATATAAGACTATAGGATAGACTTATATACTTACCTTTATATACTTAATATACTTTCATTTAATTAAATCAAGATATGTGAATTTTAATATATTAATAATAAAAATTTATTATAGAATAAATAATTTATAATAAATACAGATATTTTGATTTAATTAGAAATAAGCACTTTAAATATATGTGACTAAGTATATAAATTTTTTCTTATGATTATTAAAATATTCACAACAATATGCTCTTTCTCCAAGTCTATTTTTTGTTAAAATATTCTTCATTATTCTAGGAGTAAATTTCTTCATTAATCCAAATTATTATTATATGTTTTATATTTTTCTAATTATATATATGCACTTGAAGATAAAAATAAAGAGGAATAGAAAAATCAGAAATTAAAAGGGATTGGAAAGCAATTGTATCATGACCTTGTATGTCTGTTTGTTTGGTTTAATAAATATATTGGTCCCTTTTAGCTTAGTTATTATTTATAATTGTTCTTGTATATAATCAATTTTATATCTAAATTTTAGATGACCAGATAGGAAATGTCTTGTAACTATTTTTCCATAATAGGTTAAGATTTACTTACTTACTACTTCAATAATTTTCATTAACCATTTTCCCATTTTATCACCAATGGATTTGTTTAATAATTTTTAATTTATTCAATTCATTATAGTAATTTGATTTGATTGTTCATATAACAAACTCAATTATTTTTCTTTTAATATACACTCTATTATTATTTTTCAAATTAAAATGGCTCCTTTTTTTTGATGAATTCTTTCCGACGAGGAGAATTCTAGTTATTATATGAGATGAAATAAAAATAAGTGTAATAGAAATTATTAATTGCTTTATTAAAAAGAGAAATTATTAATTTCCGCTTCATGAGAAGTCATAGCTTCACCATGAACATGGTCTGCGTACTATCTCATTGAAAGGCAAATCTCAACCCCGTACTTTTGACTGTATAGAAAATTTGCAAAATTCTCAGCCATTTCACATATCTCTCCATGCAATGACCAAAAATTGTAGCTTCCACGAATTATATGTTTTGAACTACCACTTTTCAATGTTCAGATAATAATTTTTCATTAAAATTAAAACTAATAATATGAGCTGAGTCTGCAAACTCAATACATTAACTCAAAAAATTATAGTAGGTTGGATTCAAAAAAATAAACTTATTTAAATGTGAGTTGAATTAAGCTTGCATCACATAATTCAAACCTGCAACAGGCTAACTCACTGATTGGCGAGTTAACCCTCTTATTATTTTATTTAAGAAAACAGGATAAAAGAAAATGGGCAAACAATGCACAAACCCAAACCCTGAACATTCACAATCAGGAAAAAAGGGGCTCTTCTTTTTTTTTTTCTTTTTTTCTCCTTACCTCCCCATCTTCACTTTTTACTAATTTTATCTTTTTAAAAAAATTATTTAATAAAATAATATGAAGAGTGAAGATGGAAGAGGTGGAGAAAATAGAAAAGATAGCAAAGGAGAGTCCCCTCTCCCCACGATCGGCCGATCACTCTATCGCTCGGTGTCTCATCCCGACAGTCGCTCGCTCACTCAACTTCTCTGTTCTCGGCTTCTTGCTATCGCTCGGTGCTCGCTTCCTTCTCGCATCTTGCTTGCTTCATTGCTCGTTTAGCAAATGATTAAATCTCTTGCTCTTCTGCTCGGCTCGCTTCCTTCTCGCATCTCCCCTCGGCTCAACTCTTCTACTCAAGCTCCTCATTAATTAAATCTCTTGCTCACCGTCCTGCTCGTGCAGTCTCTTGCTCAAGCTCCTCATTTATCATCATCAGGTTCGTCCCCTCATCTTGTTCCTTACTCTCTGACTTGGTTAATTGATTTTTGTTCTGGGATCTGCAAATGATGGTCCTTTCTAATTGTGGTAATTAGGAAATTTTTTCACCGTTTAATAGAATCTCTTGAATTATATATACGAATATATGCTTGGGTGGTAATTTTGCAGACGCATTTTATTATACATAACCAGCTTATAATTTATACTAAAGAAATGACGAAAATCAAAGGGAATAATCTCGAAAGTCTAGCATAAATCCATTTGGATTATTAAAACAGAGCAAGAAAACAGAGGGTGCCGCTGCGAGAAATAGGAACAGGGCGTGTGATGTAATGTAATGGAGGAGTTATGGGGATGACATGGGCTGCTCCTGCCCATGCCTACCAAGTTTCGCGAAAAATCCATTTATAATTTGATCAAATAATAAAATTAAATTTATATTTTGTCTCTTTTCTTTATACATAACTATTTAATTAGATTATATTTAAGCATTATTAAACACAATTAGGATTAATATTTTCTGCATTCACAAAATAATAAGGCATAATTGTGGTTAGATGACCCTTTTTTTAAAAAAAAAAAATTATCTCTAATCTAACCATTTCTTATAAGGAGAAAGCCTTCATGAAGCTGAGCTCCTTCATGACCAAGACCTATTTGAGCATAAGCCTTAAAAACCGAAGGGTAAGTCAATCGTTCAGGTTGAGTCTCTGAGTATAGCATTTGACCTGTGCATTGTGAAGAATTTGAAAAATATGTGCAAGCTTCTTGATTTGTAGCTCTAGGTTTTATATTTTGTATTTTGTATCGATTCCTTGCAAAGTACCCATATAAATTTGAGTTGTCTGGCTGGTTGATTTAGTTCTCTGTTTACTTTGTATTGATTCCTTGAAAAGAACTCATATAAATTTTGAAGGATGACATGTGATATTCTTAGCATTTCAATCACTACAATAGCTAGTGAATCTGTTTTAAGCATTGGATCGAGAGTTCTCACAAAATATTGAAGTAGCCTTCTTCATGATAATTTTAAAGCTCTTATTTGTACTCACAATTGGATTCTTAGTTTTTCATGGCTCGATAGTATAATATTTATATTTTTTCATTTATCTTCTAGATTTCTAAATGTTAATTATATATTCATATTAATTATATTTTATCTTTGTTTGTGACAGATGAAGTCTTGAAAAAATCTACTCAAATTAATGTTGTTGTAGATTTTGAAAAAGCTTCTAACATTATCATTAATTAGAAGAAATTTTGTAACATATTTTACTTCTAAGAGTTTATGATGTTTCACATGAGAACTCATTGTTGTTTGGGTTTTTTGTGTTTTTTATATCAGAACTCACTATTGTTACGCTTTTGTTTTTAGCCAACTATAGTACATACGATTTAAGTGTGAAAGAATATGCTCATAGCTTGATCAATATTCCATATTTGCTTCCTTCCTCTCAATCTATTGATGAGATTTTTCAACTATATGACTAAATTTTTTGAAATTTCTTGGTATTAATGTTGAGGTGATCAACGTCTCAATTTAGAGAAAATAAAAAAAATACTTAAAAAATGTTTTTTTTATTGGCAGGTTGCCTGCGAACCCATTGCGGGTAAGCGAGTTGGCTCATATATAACCTGCATAAGATGTAGGTTATGCCAACTCACCCCCATAACCCGTAACTTGTTGCGGGCCAACTCGCTGGTCGCAAATTGACCTATATTACTAGCTTTAATTAAAATAAAAACTGCACAACTTGTCATTACGTTGAAGCTTTCGATGGTTATCAGCCGATGTAGAATTGATGGTCTAGCGACCTTGCCGCAAGTAATGGGGCTCCAATGGCCACCATAGTTCTGGCACTAATGACAATGGTAATAAGGTAGACCTTTTTTTATTTGGAGGAATCTATAAAAAATTTTAAATCTTTAAAATAGGAGAAAAGTACATATGTAAAGATAACAATTGAAGAGTACTTTGGTTTAACTAGTTGAGAAAATTGAATCAACTTATTTTAGAGACTCAAATTCAAGTCTTAAAATATGTATTCATATTAAATAAATATACTCGTGAAGAAGGCAACTTAATCTAAAATATGTGAAGAATAATAAGGATAAAAATAGTATATTCATACTTGGAAAGCTATCTTTGATACTTGGTTGAACACTCATATTCTCTTTATTTAGATTGACCAAGATTTTAACTTAGTTTTCCTTCTTAAACTCTAAAACTCAAGCTTGAATTCCTAACTCGTATTGGTCTTTAAATTGAATTGTTTGCATTTGCTTGTTCTTTGAGGATAAATGACCTAAAGTGATTCTACTGCTACACTTTAGTTTTTTTAGAAGCTTAATACAATTTAAGATTTTTCAAGTGATGCTATTGATATCATAGATTTCTCATAATATGGAGTGATGGAATAAAAAAAACACATATACAATGATCTATGTAATTTATTATTATTTTATAGCTACATTATATCAAAATCGGCCTATAACAATATTCCATGTAATTATGGATAGATATTTGTACAATGTATGTTGTATAGGTGTATATATAAATCTTTTTGTCCTTAATTTATTCTTATTGATAACTGATAAGTATATAATTATTATTTGTTTTATATATTTATAATGTTATTTAAAGAATCACACTTTTCATAATTCAATGGGAGAGTATCAATGAAGAATCCTAGAAATATAAGATATTTTAATTAAAATAAAGTTTTATTAATGATGCCTTTTTAATATTATCCTTCTCATTATACTATCTCTCTTTAATATTTTTTATAAATGGAGTATTAAATAAAAGATATTTTTGAAAATTCATATTGTTGTTTTGAAAAAAATTGTAAAGGTATTTAATAAGCTTTATTAATATGTGTAATTTTGTTCACAAGTGTCTTATAATTTAGGAATAATGAAAGTTTTAGTTATTCAAATTTATCTCAGTTGTTAATTTAGTTTCTTAAGTTTAATTTTTATCAATTTAGTCTCTTATACTATCCTTAGTTGTTGATTTGATTCTTATTATTTAAAGAAGAGATGATATTGGCTAAAACTGACATAGACAAG